GGATGACCGTAGCACCGTTAATATGCTCAATGGTGACACATGTTACTGGCGCTAGGATGGAGCTTGTAACGCCATGTTTGTATAAATTGATTGTTTGAATATAGTGTTAGTATCTTCTCCTGATCATAGTTCACAGGGATTCGATATATAAGCCAGGGTTGCGTAAATCGCCTAAGAGATCTACGCTTGGACGTACGATGAAGTTATTCGATCGATCGGTACCTTTTGTTCGAGTCGGTGTGGGCCTGTATTTATGTCCATTCATAAGTGTAGGACTAGGGTTCCAAGCTAGAATCATTTGTCGCTTATTAATCATACACTAAAGAACTCTGTTGCGAGCGCTTGACATAGTTACCTCGGTATATCAGAATATTGTAGAGAATCCGAAATGTAGAGTAGATTAGTGGATTGCGTTGTGCATTTCTGAGCCGGGAAGCTTTCCGTTGCGAGAGGCTTGCAAAGAATTTTTTTATGTCACTGTTCGCTAATGCGTACATTCTGTCGCATATCATTAAATGTTGAGTTCATAGTGGCAGTTGAAATATCATTAGTGATTTCGCATTAATCCATTGTTAATATGAACATTAATCTTCATGACTGTGATTCATTCTTTGTGTGAGCTCACACTCACTTTCATTCGCTTTCGCTCACATTCACTCGCTCACTTTTCCGCGCAGAACAAAAGACACGGAAACCTTTCATTAATAGGATTTGTTGCTGTCGTAGTTGTAGGCGTAAAGATCGATGTCGTATCTCTTTTGGCCGCGAATTTGCCAGTCGTGAAGAGTGAATAGCACATGATGCATAATTTCTTTTGCATACCTTTCTCTCTGTGACGACAAGTGATTCTAGTGGATCCGAGCGGATTGCCGTTGTCGTTTCCCTTATCAACTCTCATATCTGTCAGAGGGGGATTGTAGCTTATTAAAACTAAAACTAAATCTGGTTCCGCGACTTAACACAGCGGTTGGATTGAGGATATTCAAAACGGCACCGAAGGAGGAAGCTGCTGCAAAATCAATCCATTAAGGATGCCATGGGAAGGACGGCGCCGGAAGATCACTTTAGGCCTGTGGACGTTCGTCAGTGCAGGTATCGGCCGCCCCAGGATGCAGTGGAAGGCGCGCCTGCCGGGCGAAGAACTAGCTTGTCAGTGCGGGTACCAGTTGCCCCAGGATGCTGTGGAAGGACGCCGCCTGCTAGTTAGCGCAGGTATCAACCATTGCCGGGAAGGGCAGACGCCCGTATATCAAGACGAAGGCTACGAGGACGTCTCAACGAGAACGCAGCCGAGAAGGAGCTCGTATGGACGAATACATCACCGAGTTAGACCTGGACGAGAACTACGAGGAAGTCTGGACGAATCCGAAGTCGAGACCTTCGATCCGTGTGAACGTCGAGGACGGATGGATGTCACCAAAGGCCTGGAAGAAAAGGCCGACAAGGACAAGCAATCACGAAGACGATCGAGGACAGCGCACGCCTTAACGAGATGGCCAGCCAGTCAGGTTCAGACAGAAATGGTTACCCTAAGGAAAATAAAATGACGCCTCGAGGACTTGGTGCAAATAGGTTGCATAACAATAAGGCGGGCCATTAACCCTATAAGCTTCAAAAATGGCAGTCCAAACCCACAAACCGAAGCCAAACCAAGCTCCACTGTGTTGCAAAACCAGCGCGAAATGACAGTTATAGTTGACCTGGGACGGCCTTTAGAACTCGCCTCGTCTCTCGTTTCGTCAAGAACCCCTAGGGCCTTCGCTGGCCGGCCGATGACACCCGTCAGCGCTTGCTCCCGGATCACCGTATCGTGTGTTCATTTCCCCTTGTTGTATTTCTTCATCAGTAAAGAGTCAAGCCGTAACGATCTATTATTGCCTCTTGCAGGTACAGAAATACGTTCATTAGACTGGAAAAGAAGCAGTGCAGATGCGTGTATGAGGAAGAAGCACCAACGAAGAGAAAAAGGATAGGAGAGCCAAGTTGACTTACAAATCGTGTGAGGAAAAAGTTAGCCTTAGAGTAGACCCCCCCCCTCAAAATGAAGGGGGGGGGGCGTGAAGTCGTATGGTCAAACAACGCTGTTTTGTAAGGATAATTAAATCATGTGATTAGGTCGTTTGTGGAACTATGGATTTCTTGGTTTGATTTCTTCAATGGAGTGTTTTTACATTTATTTTCTGTGAGAACTCGAAATGCTATTCACGTTCCATGTCTTTATATTTTTATATTTAGTTTATGAAACTGTGCATAACATGGAATCAGTGGGTTACTATATCTGATTTCAGTCTCATAAATATTTTTGAATATTATATCCCATGTTTTTTAATTATTTAGTTCTTGGGATTGTAAATCCACCTTGATAATTTGCCATTTTTTCGACTCTTTTGAATCATATGTTCATTAACTTAAGTCACTTAGTAAAATGCCCCATGCTTGCATGATTCGTTTCATTCATTTTGATTCAAACAAAAATCGTTTTCGTAAACAGTTCTAACAGTTCTTTAAATTATAAAGTCATAAAACTAGCTGTTATTCGGTGATTTACTCGAACATTTCAAACATTTCATAGACAGATGTAATAGGATTCAACTTAGTCAACTTAGAGAGAGAGAGAGAGAGAGAGAGAGAGAGAGAGAGAGAGAGAGAGAGAGAGAGAGAGAGAGAGAGAGAGAGAGAGAGAGAGAGAGAGAGTGAGAGAGAGAGAGACTGAGTTTATAAAGGAATATACATTGTGAAGCACCCATTCCTCTAAGTCTTAGAAAGCCTGTAAATTCCTATTACAAAGACAATTCAATTTGCATTTATTATGAGAAACATTGAAAAAGTAACAATAAGTTTGTGTATCATTCAGTTCGTATTTACACCAGGGAATGCAACATCTTTTTATTCTCTCTCTCTCTCTCTCTCTCTCTCTCTCTCTCTCTCTCTCTCTCTCTCTCTCTCTCTCTCTCTCTCTCTCTCTCTCTCTCTCTCTCTCTCTCTCTCTCGCTCTCTCTCTCCCTCCCTCCCTCCCTCCCTCCCTCCCTTCTCCTTCTCTCTTTATCTTTTTCTTTCTCTTTCCCTTCCCTTTCCCTTGCCTCCCTCTTCCCTCTCCCTCTCCCTCCCTCGCCCTCACCCCACCCTCTCCCTCCCTCCCCCTCTCCCTCTCCCTCTCCCTCTCCCTCTCCCTCTCCCTCTCCCTCTCCCTCTCCCTCTCCCTCTCCCTCTCCCTCTCCCTCTCCCTCTCCCTCTCCCTCTCCCTCTCCCTCTCCCTCTCCCTCTCCCTCTCCCTCTCCCTCTCCCTCTCCCTCTCCCTCTCCCTCTCCCTCTCCCTCTCCCTCTCCCTCTCCCTCTCCCTCTCCCTCTCCCTCTCCCTCTCCCTCTCCCTCTCCCTCTCCCTCTCCCTCTCCCTCTCCCTCTCCCTCTCCCTCTCCCTCTCCCTCTCCCTCTCCCTCTCCCTCTCCCTCTCCCTCTCCCTCTCCCTCTCCCTCTCCCTCTCCCTCTCCCTCCCTCCCTCCCTCCCTCCCTCCCTCCCTCCCTCCCTCCCTCCCTCTCCTTCTCTCTTTATCTTTTTCTTTCTCTTTCCCTTTCCCTTTCCCTTTCCCTCTCCCTCTCCCTTTCCCTTTCCCTTTCCCTTTCCCTTTCCCTTTCCCTTTCCCTTTCCCTTTCCCTTTCCCTTTCCCTTTCCCTTTCCCTTTCCCTTTCCCTTTCCCTTTCCCTTTCCCTTTCCCTTTCCCTTTCCCTTTCCCTTTCCCTTTCCCTTTCCCTTTCCCTTTCCCTTTCCCTTTCCCTTTCCCTTTCCCTTTCCCTTTCCCTTTCCCTTTCCCTTTCCCTTTCCCTTTCCCTTTCCCTTTCCCTTTCCCTTTCCCTTTCCCTTTCCCTTTCCCTTTCCCTTTCCCTTTCCCTTTCCCTTTCCCTTTCCCTTTCCCTTTCCCTTTCCCTTTCCCTTTCCCTTTCCCTTTCCCTTTCCCTTTCCCTTTCCCTTTCCCTTTCCCTTTCCCTTTCCCTTTCCCTTTCCCTTTCCCTTTCCCTTTCCCTTTCCCTTTCCCTTTCCCTTTCCCTTTCCCTTTCCCTTTCCCTTTCCCTTTCCCTTTCCCTCTCCCTCTCCCTCTCCCTCTCCCTCTCCCTCCCCCTCTCCCTCTCCCTCTCCCTCTCCCTCTCCCTCTCCCTCTCCCTCTCCCTCTCCCTCTCCCTCTCCCTCTCCCTCTCCCTCTCCCTCTCCCTCTCCCTCTCCCTCTCCCTCTCCCTCTCCCTCTCCCTCTCCCTCTCCCTCTCCCTCTCCCTCTCCCTCTCCCTCTCCCTCCCTCCCTCCCTCCCTCCCTCCCTCCCTCCCTCCCTCCTCCCTCCCTCCCTCCCTCCCTCCCTCCCTCCTCCCTCCCTCCCTCCCTCCCTCCCTCCCTCCCTCCCTCCCTCCCTCCCTCCCTCCCTCTCCTTCTCTCTTTCTCTTTTTCTTTCTCTTTCCCTTTCCCTTTCCCTTTCCTTTCCCTTTCCCTTTCCCTTTCCCTTTCCCTTTCCCTTTCCCTTTCCCTTTCCCTTTCCCTCTCCCTCTCCCTCTCCCTCTCCTTCTCTCTTTATCTTTTTCTTTCTCTTTCCCTTTCCCTTTCCCTTTCCCTTTCCCTTTCCCTTTCCCTTTCCCTTTCCCTTTCCCTTTCCCTTTCCCTTTCCCTTTCCCTTTCCCTTTCCCTTTCCCTTTCCCTTTCCCTTTCCCTTTCCCTTTCCCTTTCCCTTTCCCTTTCCCTTTCCCTTTCCCTTTCCCTTTCCCTCTCCCTCTCCCTCTCCCTCTCCCTCTCCCTCTCCCTCTCCCTCTCCCTCTCCCTCTCCCTCTCCCTCTCCCTCTCCCTCTCCCTCTCCCTCTCCCTCTCCCTCTCCCTCTCCCTCTCCCTCTCCCTCTCCCTGACAGATAGACAGACACAGAGACAGACCGGACAGAACAGAATCAAACCCACAAACAAACAAACTACCCACAATCCCAGCAAGTGACACGCCTCTTACCGAGCTGAAACGCCCTTGACAGGTGACAGCGAGTAACCTGTTGGGCCTCGACATGTCAGCGCAGACGGTGGAGGGGGAGGGGTCGCCTGACGTCACAGCTTCCTCCATCCACCTGGCCGTACATCAGAGGCGGTCGGACATCAGGGTCATCATGCACACACACCAGCCTTATGTCTCCGCCCTCGGTCAGTGGTCGGGGTTCGGTGTATTTTTTTATATAATGGTATCCGGAGTTTCCTTAATAGGTGTTAGTGTGTGTGATGCTATGGAATATGGATTTATTTTTAAAATCTATTTGATTATATTTATCTGTGTATCTATTTTGTTTTATTTATTTATTTATATTGGAGTGCAAATTTACTGACACATTTTTGCACAAGGCGAAACTGATGATAGCATCACATCACATCCTCATCTACAAATTCACTTTCACTTATCCATTCATTCATTTACTTATTCTTTTTATATTTTCATTTTTTTTCTCCAGCGGCCCTCGAGGACTGCGAGCTCCGGATGGTCCACCAGAATTCGATAAGGTTTTGGAACCGCGTGGCTTACGATCTCAACTACGGCGGCGTCGCTTTCTCGTCTGAGGAAGGGGAGAGGCTGGCCAAAGTCCTGGGTGCGGCCCTTTCGTGTTTGTTCTTTGCAATGCCAGTTGTTGTGCTATTTTATTACTTGCCATAAGTTGAGTGTGTACGGTGCGTTCTATTTCATTTGTTGCTGTTCTGGTTATTATAGTATTTTGTTACTTGCCATAATTTAGGTGTCTACAGTGCATTTTATTTTATTTGTTGCTGTCCTGGTTATTATACTATTTTGTTACTTGTTATAATTCAGGTGTGTACTGTGCGTTTTATTTTATTTGTTTCAATGATAGTTCTTAGACTATCTTTTTACATGCTATAATTTAGGTGTGTACAGTGCAATTTAGTCTGATTTGTTGTAGTGCCAGTTATTATATTATTTTATTACTTACCATAATTTAGGTGTGTGCAGTGCAATTTATTTTACTTGTTGCAATGATAGTTATTAAACGATCTTATTGCTATAATTTAAGTGTCTACAGTGGATTTTAGTTTCAGTCTTTATTATGATACTGCTTGTATTATTGTATTCGTTATAATGCTAGTTATTATATCATCTTATTTGTTATGTTGTCGGTGCGTGCAATGAAACCCCGGGTTTTAGTTTTATCGGTTATTATAATTTTATATAATTTTATTAGTTGTTACATTACTCTATAACTTTCTGTATTATTGCATTAGCTGTTTTATCATTTTATTAGTAATGCTGTAGGTGGGTGTAGTGGAGCCACGGGATTTTTGTTTAGACGTTATTATGCTAAATATAATATTATTTTATTAGTAGTTATATTATCTTGGCGGTAGAGAAAGACCTTTATTATATTCAAATCCAAGTGTAATTGAAACAGTTAAAAAAAAACTCGGTTATGTTAAAGTTTGAAGTTTCCTCTCTGTTCACGTGTCACCGTTTTGACAAATCGTCTGAGGAATCATAAAATATGTATACGATATTTAAAAAGTGCGTGAATATAAAATAATATATATATTTTTTTCAATTTCTAACGCAGGCGACAAGGACATCCTGATCATGGGAAATCATGGCGTCATGGTGGTTGCTCCTACCATTTCCATGGCCTTTGAAATGCTCTACTTCCTCGAACGCGCGGCTATGGTGCAGGTGAGTTTATGTGGTGATTTATACCGATGGCTCCTTGGGTGATATTAAGACTGCACTATTAAGCACGTATATTTCATATGCAAGGTGATACTTGAATAGTTTCATTTTGTGCCGTGGCTGTAATTACAGTATATGAGGATTTTGAATTTGAAGATTTATGCAAAACAGATGAGAATATATAAATACTCGTATGTTTGAATAATTATATGAAAAACAGATAACATTATATAAACTCGCAATTCTGTCTGGTTTTCATGTTTTAGATTCTGCATTACATTAGGTTTTGAGAAGAGAAAAAATAAAACTTTATTTTTCTCTTATGCTTTTCTTCTTCAATGCTTCTCGCGTTTTAAAAAATCTTATGTTGCATTAGGGATTCCAGAAAAGAAAAAGCCTATTACTGATCAATGCTTTTATTCCTCTCTCACGTTTCTCTTCGTAGTTGAAGGCCTTTTCCACCCAACGCCCTCTGAAAGAAATTACCGAAGAAGTAGTTAAGTCCGTAGCCCCCGAGTACATGAAGCGCGCGCAGCATTATGCGGACACTCTGTACTACGCCGTTTACCGTGATCTCCAGCGGACGCAGCCGGAGTTTGAGAAGTAGTTTGTCGGAGAGAAAAGGGCAGAGCGAAAGAAGGGAAGGGTGGAGAAAGGCAGAAGAAATGGGAAATGAAGAGAAGAAGTAAAGGAGGTAAGAGAGATATCCGGAAGACAGGAAGAGGCGGAGAAAACGACTGAGCTTCAGGGAAATGATTCAAAAATCCTGATACTCATCTCAGCGTTTTTGTTGGAACCACATAGTAACCACAGTCATTTTACTAA